ACTAATTAGTACATTAGTACAGTTAGTACATTGGTACTAACATCCAATGGATTCCATAGAAATAAGATTACAAACCTAATCCAAAAAGAAACCCCCACCAAAATCCAAGACAAAAAACAAGAAAACGGCAAAGCCCTCCTCCCATACATAAAAGGCACCACAGACAGAATCAGTAAGATCCTTCATAAACACAACATCAAAACAGCATTCTGCACAAACAGAAAAATATCCACCATCCTTAGAAACCCCAAAGATAAAATTGAATTAGAAAATCAAGGAGTATACGAAATCCCATGCACCACTTGTCCCACCACATACATCGGACAAACCAACAGAAGAATAAGTGCACGCATTGAAGAACATAAGAACTCAGTCAAAAAAGAGGAACCAACATCTTCCCTGGTCCAACACCTTAAAGCCACAGGACACGAAATTGACTTTAAAAATACCAGAACCATTGCCAAAAGTGAACATTTTAATAACAGAATAATCAGAGAAGCCATCGAGATAGAAAAACGCCCACACAGCATGAACAAGCGAGATGATACCTCCCGCCTACCAGCCATTTGGAAACCTGCCCTTATTGACAAACGACTCCCTAACCCCAAAATCTTAAACCCCTCTGCAACTCAGACTAACCTGAGCACAACCAAACAGAACACTCCCCCAGCCAATCAGAGCACAGCCAAGCCCCTAACCATTCAGAACACACCTCCACCCAATCAGAACACAGCCAAGCTCCCATCCAATCAGTTCATACCCTCACTGGCAGTTAAAAGGAAGAAACAGCTAAAACCACACATTGCTGCTCAAAGCAAGAAGCTAAAATCACCAGCCTGAAGATGACGAATGGACTTCGTCGAAACGTCGCCAAGACACTTCCAATTTTACGCGGGAGAAAACCCGAACAACCAAAGACCTATATACAAATACCCGCGAAAACCTCAGAAAACATATATATATATATATATATATATATATATATATATATATATATATATATATATATATATATATATATATATGGGTGTAGGTATACATATGTATGCATGTATCATGTCTATATGTGTGTTATGTATGTGTACACTTTTAAGAGTAACAGAATTTCATTTTTAATGGGTGCCAATGTACCCACAGGAAAAAATGATAATAAACGTTATCTAAAAGAAAAGTTACTTGTAATTTCAAACCATTGTAAGAACTATTTGTACTACTACAAAAGGAACTGATTCTGTCAAAGTAAAATTAAGTATTTCAGAAGGCAGAAGGAAGATACTTCTTTAGATTTAGAAGAAAGCAACACCAGGATTTCCTTCTCTTGCATGGAAGTGATTTGAAATAGTGTTATTTGATGATAAGAAACAAGTCCTATGTTTATTTAATATTGCATTTGCTAAAACTTCCTTTGCTTTATTTTTTCTTTTAAACCTACACATAGTTTAACATACACCAAACATATCTAAATCAAGGTTAGTTATATGTAATGGGAAATAGGAAAGAGATGGATCTTAAAATCAAAATGACCAAGACAAGATTTTGGTAATATTGGCAATTACAGTAGGGAAACTCCTTCACTTAAACCTGATAAAATGATTGGGCATGTGAACCATGCTGAACTGCTCCTAAATCTTAGATTTGTAATAAATTGTGAAACTGCTTCTTAATAACTTAATAAATAGTATAAATAATTACAATGATTGTATGACTCTCTCCATTGAGAGGGATAGCAAATAAATTGGAATTCATAAAACAATACCAGGATGGCAGAACACTGATTGCTATTTAGAATGGACGGTTTCTGTTTTTTAGAATAAAGTCTAAAAGGAATATCCTACTTCCCTCTGATTATCTTATTTCTGTCTGCTGGAATGGTTCCCTTTTTCACATAGTACAGATAGTCCTTGACTTAGTACATGTTGAAAATTACAACTGCACTGAAAAAGTGATTTATGGCTGATTTTCACACTTACAACCATTGCAGCATCCCCATGGTCATATGATCAAAATTCAGATGCTTGGCAACTGGTTCATATTTATGATGGCTGCAGAGTCCTGGGGTCATGTGATCTCCTTTTGCACCCTTCTGACAAGCAATGCCAATGGGGAAGCCAGATTCACTTAACAACAGTGTTACTAACTTAAAAACTGCAGTGATTCACTTAACAACTGTGGCAAGCAAAGTTGTAAAATGGAGCAAAATTCATTTAACAATGATCTCATTTAGCAACAGAAATATTGGACTCAATTAGTCGACTACCTATATAGAGTGTTCAGTGTCTATACTGAAGGAAGCACTGATTTCAGGCTGAAATGGATATACTATTATTCTTTATTCAACTTCCTAATTATTTTATATGTAGTGCTAATTATAAGAATTCTAGTTCTTATACTTCAACTTATGTATTTACCTGATGTAGTATCAACTATCAAAATTCCTGGTGGCCTACAATAAGAACAAATTGAAAATGGAAGTATTAAAACTTAAATTGCAATATTAAAATTGTTCAAATTGCAATGGAAATAAAGCAAAATAAGTTGGATTAATAATTAAAATTAACAGTTATAATCATTTAAATGTTTGTAAAAAAATTGGTTTAAAGATCTTGTCAAAAGCTAGTAAACCTGTTTAGACCTCTCTACTTTGCAAAGAACACAGAATTACAGTAGTGGCCAAAATTATGGAAACCTTTTGGGAAAAGTGTACAGTAGAAATGCCACCTTTGGTTAAGTTTCCACCAATTTTTCTTCTAATTTCTTTATAACTGTAGCTTTGTTCACTTAATAATACTATTTTACATCGCTTTCTGGGCAACCAGTCAACTCTTTGCACCATTATTTTAATTTTATTACGTTTTACAAGCTCACTAAATGAAAGAACACAAAAAACCCCAACCAACTTGATAGTGATCACATAACACACTGACAAATGTCCTCCTCTCAGCTTCAGTACATGACATCAATAACTAAATCCTACTGTGATCTAACTGGCTCATTGCCAAAACAAGATGATACCTGATTAGCTCTCTAAAAACTCATGCTCATTGGCTACAATCAGATGAAGGAATGCTACCTGATATCAACCTAAGCAAGTTGTGTTTCCTTCTTCTGGTTATTTGGCTATAACTTTTCATAGAATACAGTACAGATAATTGAACAAACTATGTTGCATTATATTCTTGATTAAATTATCTTTCCATTGATATATAATTTTATGGTACTATACCAAAAAAAATGGTATTATTAGCCATCAAACCTCAAAAATACTTTTCCCAATTTTGGCCACTACTATAGATTGCAGTTGAATGAGTCCAATCTTGAAGCTACCAGAAAAGCTTGAACAATACTAACCTCCAAATCTCACCAGTGGCTTCAGATAGTGGTGGGATTCAGCTGGTTCGCACCACTTCGGCAGCACCAGTTGCTAATTTTTGGTTGCCCAGGCCCAGAATGGACTTCTGGAAGCAGCATCCACACAGAGAACCACTTGTTTACATATTTGAATCCCACCACTGGCTTCAGATAAATATTGAAAAGCATTTCATAGAATGTTATCTTGAGGAATGCCACAAAATAGTTCCCATTTTGAGCTGTTTTCATGTAAGCATCTGAAAGCTTTCTAAAAGATAGGAAGGGAACTTCTGCATAAGCTATATCTCCTATCCCAAAGTCTTCCAGAAGCTTCTGGAGGATGCCATGGTCAATAATATCAAAGTTTTTGAAGATTGAAAAACAAACTATATGGATCCTCAAATAAATATATTCAAGTCAACAAAGGAAGTCTCAAAGCCTTAGTATGCTGTGGAGTCTAATGGACTAAACTATAAATATATGCTTTGTATATAGCTGAACTCAGTTGAAAAGCCATTACTCTCTCACTCATGTTACTCAATCATAGGGAGAAAGAGGGAGACACTTCCCTACAATTCTGAAAAATACAGAATGGGCTTCTTCAAAAGAGTTTTAATATTTTATCCCTTAAACAGAGAAGTAGTTATGATATTAACCAATGCACCTCTAATAATTTCCGAACTAGAAATTAAAAACCAGATTAACCAAGGAAGCAGAGTGGTACAACATACCTCTCCAAGTAGGTTGTTGACAACTTTGGATATCACAAACTGCAACTGATCCATTCTCACTATTTAGAAGAAATTACTTGACACTTCCATAGTTGACATCTAGACATGCTAAATACAAAAGCTTTATCTACAATATATAAACTTTTTTCTCCTATCAACCTGCCAAAACCCCATCACTTCTGAGATTAATAAATCCATAAAATATTTTAAAAGGATACAAGTAGTGCTTGACTTATGACCACAATTGAGCCCAAAATATCTGTTGTTAAGTGAGTTTTACCCCATTTTACAACCTTTCTTGCCATGTTAAGTGATTCACATGTTAAGTTGTTAAGTTAGTAATCTGGAATGAAAATCACTTCCCTTTGACTATCACTTCCCAGTGTTCTATCTTTCTTTAGGAAGCCTTTAGTGACTTTTTCCCAATTGCTCCAGATTCTTGGTTTGGGAAAATCCCCAATCATTGTGCTCATGCACAAATGTACATATACCCCTCTAACAAGGTCATAGTGACTCCTCTAAAATGATTCCTCCAAAAGGATTCAATCTAAATAGTGGAGTTACAGGGAGTGAATGGAGTATTTCAGAAAAAAATATGTGTTTCTAGTTTCTCTGCCCCAAAGGTACTGTTTAAAAGGCAAATGGACTTTCTTGGTTTTGCTTCTCATCCAAGAAGCTTCTTCAGTTCTGAAATGAAGAAGTTTATTGGATGAGAAGGACAACATTTTCAAAAAAACCCCAAACAAACAAGAAAAACCAGTTGCCTTTTGAACAGCAACTTTGGAACAACCATGACCTGGATGACTGAGAATCCATAGATGCCAGTTTTTCTATTTCTTCTGCTGAGTTAGTTCTGAAATAATTAGGAGTAATTATATTTCCTTTTACATTTGACCTTTTTTTTTTTTTTCATTTTTACAGATCAGTTACTGGTCCAGCGGTGAAAAAGAAATAGCTGCAAATAGAGTGCAAGTGAGCAGTCAGAATTTTTCAGTAATGTTAGAAAACCTGAAACCTTATACAAAATACTATACAAAAGTAGCAGCTTTCAATGCAGCTGGCATTGGACCTTACAATTATCCTTTGGATTTTGTTACAGAAAAAGCACGTAAGCATCTAAAATAGAAGATGGAGATGAATAGTAAAGATAAGGTCAGATGGACATGGAATAAAGGAGACTTATATCTGTAGTCTTCATCAGACACAATTTGTCTTAAAACTCTTTGCTCAAGGATGAGCTCAATGTAAAATGTCCTAGGAGCTTCAAATATTCCATATTTGGTTGTGGATATTATAATGTTTTAATTACCTTAATTTTTTTCATATGGAGTTGCCAGTTTGTGTAAATGTACTCAGTCATTGCTGATAAATTATACATATTGGTAGATACACAGATCTCTGGTGTCAAGTTGTTAGATCCTGTAACAGTAACATCTTGACTGCAAAGTTTGCTTCTCTATAGATCACTGTGACGTGGTCTGCAAATGCTGGACAGTAGCTGCATAACATTTGGTGACAATTTTTAAGCAAGAGGTATCTATGAATAATTGTATAAATCAGAATGGGAAGTAGATAGTAGATGATACCATTGGTGAATTTTACTTGTGGACATAAATAAACAAATGTGTAGGAATGAGAAAATAATGTTTGTAAAATTTAATTGTACTGGTTAGAATAAAGAAACGTGCTATTTTTTTTAGCTCCAAGGCAGCAACCAAGAATTATTGATGCTGTAAGGTCCGGTTCAAAGTACATTATCACATGGGAGCATGTTAAGTCACAGTCCAATGAATCTACTGTGAAAGGATATAAAGTAAGATTGATATTTAAGTCTTTTGGGCCTGAGTAATATTGGTTGTTTTGTTGCCCTATTTGAATTGTGTGTTAGTAAAGTAAATTGCTATTTAAAAGGAAGAAAGGTGATATTTAGGAAAGGATATTTTAGACCATAAAAAGCAAAGTTAAATTTGGTACCAGTGTATACAGTAATCTTACGTAATTTCCCTCAAGGTCTATTATACTGATAATTCAGCTAATTCTTAGAAATTCTCTTCTAATATGAGCCATAACAAGATATAAAAACAGCTATAAGGTAGAGAAACACACCTGTGTAGTTCTTATTCTCTTACACAAATAAGTGTGCCAATCAATCAACTTTTGTATTAGTATCTACTATGTTCAGAACTGATTCATCTACTGTATGATGGCATGCATGTTGTTTTTTTTCAATGGTGGAAAGAAGAAAGCAGATTGGAGATCAGTGTAGGCCGGGGTGTTGGCTGGGGAATTCTGGGAGTTGAAGTCCACAGGTCATAAAATTACCAAGGCTGGACATCCCTTGCGATGTATTAAGTAGTGATCACTAACTGAGGAAATCTATTTGGTACTTTCTTCATTTCAGCAAGAAGGAAACATTAGAAATAATGGTGTACAGAGCACAGAAAAAGAATGAACCATAAAGGAGACAGGACATGATTGCTTCCATCTTATATAGTTCTTCATATGAAGTGTGGAAGTGTTGTTGTTTACTTCTTATAACAGTAATTGGCTAATGCTGTATGCCTATAATACCACTACTGTTTCCTATTCCCTGTGATCATATAAAGGAAATTAATGATTGGATTTCCTGCTTACACCATAGAAACAACAGAAAATGTAAATATACAGGTTACTTAAATATAATTAGCTAATGTTCTCTCTCTAAGTCTTAAAAAGGGAGTGGGAGCTTTTCACTTTTATTTACAAAAATGTATATAAAATGGATAATCATATTGATTCAAGACAGCATTTATAAATATTTTGCCTTGATTTTTTTATAATGACCTGGACTATTAATTTGTTGTGAACTTACCTTGCTATGCTATTTTTTTATTATTCTTTAAAAGGTGCTCTATAGACCAGATGGTCAATTTAATGGTACACTCTTTAAGACTGGTAACCATTATATAGAAGTTCCTGCACCTGTTAAAGGTCAGTACATTGTTGAAGTTCGGGTCCACAGTGAAGGGGGAGATGGAGAAGTAGCTCTTGTAAAAATTCCAGGTATGTCTATAAAAAAATGAAATTGAGTACGAAAGATGTTATTTTTTCTATATTTTTTCTATATTTTAATGTTTAGCTAAGTTTAAGGTGTTTTAAATGTGTTTCCTTGTGTCTTTTATATCCGATGGAGATAGTGAGTTAAGAAGTACGAAATATAAAAATAAATAAATAAATATACACAGTGGTTATTTATTTTCAAATCATTGAGACAGAAATGATTTTATTTGCCTTCTAGTTATTCAAATAGTAAACGTATCATAAATATACATTTTAGTGGTTGAGAGAAGCAAATTATCCATTTCTCACAACAGTCCCCTTCCCCAAATCTTGCTATTCTTCCTTATTGTGGGGCTGTTCCTGGAAGGGACAAACAAAGAATGCTGAGGGTGTAGCCACCAGTAGAGTCCCACAAAGTGTGAAAGTCATCCCAGCTAAAAGAAGTAGTCACCTATATTGGGCAGCAATATAGAAGGTATTGGAGATGGATGATCACTTTAGGGGCAATAACAAAGGCATTATTTCATACTACATGGGATAAATTACTTTACTTTACTGAGCAAATCATATGAACAGATTATAAAATAAGTGATGATATAATGTTGAATGATAAGCCCCCAAGTTTGATAGGGATCCACATTCTTCAGAGGATCTTTCAGAGTATTAATGGTGTAATAATGGTTAGATTTAAATCTTGACAATGTTCTGCTGCTACTGATATTCAGGAAAAGAAAATCCAAAGCTGACAATTTGATATTGATAGTTCATTATTGATATTGATATTAATCCTGGTACAGTCACTCTTCTCAGCCCTAGAAAGAAGGCAAAGGCAAACCACTTCCCAAAAATGTTGTCAAGAAAAACAAACTGCAGGAGCTTGTCTGTGTAGTTGTCAGGAGTAAAATCTAATCTGAAGTCACACGGAGGCAAAATGACGAGAAACATGAATATAAAATATTTACAATACGACAAGTTTTAGCAAATAATTAGAGAATATCTGAATATCACCTTTCAGAGAAGACAATTTGGGAAAGAATCTTTAGAACATCTCTGTTTTACTTGTAGTCTTGCTTAATCTTCAGTCTTTTATATAAAATGCAAACTTGTTTGATTTTCCAGGAGCTGCTGCTGGAATATTCCCTAGCTGTCTTGGTTTATTGTTGCCTGCTCTTGGTATCCTTACCTTTTTGGAATTTTGAATGTACCTGAATATGTCCTCAATTTAGTGCAAAGGACTGAACCTAAAAGGAATTCAATTCTTTTTTTATTATTTCTTGAGGCATCGTCCTAAGTCAAATAAATTACACTTCCAAGTAAATTATCTTCCTGACTTAACTATGGACTTCAAGAATTGAGAGACCCAGAAATTCCTTCATCAAGCAACTCAAGTTTTGAAAGTTTTTAACATGTTCAATTATGCCTTATGAAACACTTGTGCTGATCTGCAACAGTTGCATGATTCGGTCCAATGAGCAAGTTATAGTGTAGTGTTAAATAAAATAATATAAGCTGTACAGTAAAAATAAAACCACCACACATAGGTGCTTTAACTTTCATAATAAATTGTAAAAACATAATAGAGATTGAAAAATTGATTGTATGTGGTATACGTAGAAGCAACTACATCTGTCCATAGTTTTGTGTAATCTCTGTTTTGTGTACTGAATTTTTTTTAATGGCCCCTGTCATTTATGACTTTTCAGGTTTTTAAAGATACAGTCAAAGCAAAAGCATTGCACTCATTTTACAGCTTTTGTACATGAAGTGAATAAATGAATTGAAAACACTAGAATGCAAGTTAAGGAGTAAAAGACTTTATTTCTGGATCTATTAATAAGTATTAACAGCAAAGGATTCCAGCACCTTCATTATAAAATGAGAATTTAACTCAACATATTGTTTTAAATAATGCAATTCAGGTGGGGTTTATCTCAATCACAGAGTTTATTTTGATGTAAATGATCTTATAAGGTATATAAACAAATTTACTTTTAGTATTTTATTCTATCTAAATGTAATTGCCACATTTGAGTAAGTTGACTTCCATCAAAATGACATAATTTAGATTTTAATATTACAGACACCTTGTTTTTTATTAATTCATTATAAATAAAATGGAAATTTGAAAAGTAATTACCTGATTGCATAAATATTGACACAAATATAGTATTTAAAGTAGTATTTAAAAATCAAAACAAATGATGTAATAAAAAAATAAATATGCAATAAAAAGAAGACAAATTAGCAGTTAAAATCTATCTGAATGGTTTTGTTTCTTCTGAGACACATATTGCCTTTCTTTAGGAAAATGATTTGCATTTTCCAATGAATTAATATTGTTTTACTTTCTAGAGTTGTAAATAAGAGTTGTAAAATCCTAATCCAATTTTCCCTATTTAATGATCCCAACAGATAGATTTATTACAATTCAAAAATGGAGCTCAATTATTCTGTTTTCTTTAAATGTGTTTTCAAATGTGGGGTTCCCACAAAAGATAAAGAATGTCTTTGTTCTGACTGTTTCTATGCTATATTCAAAAATTTTAAAAAAGAATACTTATTTCTTTCAGAAACTATGATGTATTGAGAATTTGGTATGAATTAAAAGAAAAAAAACACTGCTCAAGTTATACTGAATCACTGGCTCAAGTAATAGTGCAAATGTCTGATGCTTCCAGAATTATAAGCGTGGAGTCATATTTTATTAGCAGAGTCTTGCTAGCTGCTTTAGAAATAGAATTTAACTTTTTAAAACTGATATTGTAGATTCCCATGATACCATCCATGTGAACCAAAAACAGATCTGTCAGTACTTTATGCTTGTTCTTTAATTTGTATGACTTTGTATTATACATTTACATTTTAAAAGACAAAACTCTTCATGCAAAATATCAATAATACTGTTTTACTTTTGTTACAGTTTGAAACTTTTTAAATAGTGGGTCAAAGGATATTTTTTTTAACTGAATGTTAGAAGATTCATAGATGTTATTTATAATTATATACTTATTTGAAGAAACTAAAGTATCTTCGTGCAAAAGAAACTAATGCCTTTGGGAGTCTTCTATATGTTTTGATTTGGTTCACTTTTATGTAATTTAACTCATATTTTATATAGCCTACATTCACGAGTTTGTTTGTTTTTGCCAAAATGCATATTTTTGCATGGATAACATTTAAAAAGTCAAAGCACATGTATTTAATTTAAGCTGTAATACACCTGTGTGAGATTTCATCACTTAGATTAATGAACTAATCCCAGGTTTTCATTGTTCTATACAGCTGTACAAATTAAATATTCAGTTACCAACAGTTGTTGGCACAACTGATTATATACTGTATCATCTGGTTTACAATGCAAGGTTCTTAATTAAAGTTTATATGGATACATTGCTTGTTTCTTTGTATTTCAGTTATTATTGTTATTGTTATTATTTGATACTGCTAAATTTTGGATTTTTTAAAGTTACCTTTTATCATTTTCTTTACTATTGATCAGACCAAGACTACACTATGTATTAATGTATTAATGGTACTCCAGATGTAACAATTATCATTTGACTTTTCCAGAGCCTTAAATAGGTTTCTTTGTATATGAGAGGTGTAGAGGGGGAAAGCACATAATTCATAGAAATAGTCCTAGAATATTTTCTGTCAACATGTGACATATGGATTAATCAATAGTCTTTTTTAACATTACTGATTTAATACATATATTTAAATCTATTATCTCAATATTTTGTCTTTGATTCACCCCGGTGATGCAATGGTTAGAATGCATTACAGGTAATCCTTGAGTTACGAATGTCGTAGAGCCGGTCACTTACATTCATAACTCAAGGATTTCTTGATTGGATCATGTTAAAAGAATGTGATACCTCCCTGCTTTCCCCAATGTATTCCCCAAACAAATGCACAGGTCGTTAAGTGCACATGAGGTTTCTCAGGGTGGAGATGACCATGGGGGCCTACTGCTGGAACAAGCTACCTGTTTCTGACCACCCAAGGACTCCCACAACCCACTGAGATATCTCATGCTCCTCATAGTTGCTTGTCCCCCATGCTCCCCTGCCAGGTCTCCAGGCACTGGGCCTGCTTTACTGGCCTCCCAGACTCCACTTGCTCCTCTCCACCCCTTTCCCAATAGCTCACTTACCTTTTCAAAGATCTCCAGAGTTCCAGAACAGGCTGATCCACTCCCTGAATGGGAAGGTCTGTGTTCCTGGCCCCATGAGGCTAGCGTTCCTGCAGTATTCAGAATTCATCAGGCTGAATTACAAGCTCCGGGATGATTGGCTTCCACTGCTACCTTCATGCCCCAATCCCTGCTTTGCTAGCCTCCCAGATTCCACTTGCTCCTCCCCATCCCATTTCTAGTGACTCACGTACCCTTTTGAAGATCTCCAGCATTCCAGAACAGGCTGTCTCACTCCCTGAAGCTGCTCATTCAAACCAGCCATCCAGCAGCCAGCAGGAGGCTGCTGTGGCTCCACCTAGGCCTTTTCTGCCATGAGGACTGCAGGAACACTGGCTTCATGGCAGAAAGGCAGAAGTCTTTTACTCATGCTATTGAAGCTGTTTTCCTTAGATCTCATATTCTTACAGTTTCACCAGCATATGAGTAAAAGGCTGCTGCTTTTCTGCTATGAAGCCAGCAATATAAGCCTTACCCCCAAAATAACCCCTAGTTTGGGGGTGAGGCACATGCTTAAAAATTAAGCTAGGGGTGTGGATCTGCCCCATGCGCCCTGCATGCACTTATCTTGCAGCCAGGCCTCTCCTTACCAGCCCACTTCTGAGGCGTCTTCTACAGCCAGGCCTGCATTTTTCAGTCACAAGGCTTTCCGGAAGGCCTGTGCAGCCAAGAACCGAGCCATTGACTCAAACCGTAAGTCGGTTCTGTAAGACCTCTGTAGCCGAGGACTGAGCTATGGCTCCTAGGCCTTCCTGAAAGGCCTGACTGCAAAATGCAGGCCAGAATGGAGCTGCAGAGTGAAGCTGCTCCTTCAGCCCCAGAATAAGTGGACTGGCTGGGTGGGGTTGTTGGTGCCGGAGGTAAGATATTGTAAGGTTTTCCACTTAACCTCACAATTGCCCTAGCATTACTCAGGAATTTAAAAGAGCCAAAGAAACTCCTGAGCCGAGGTTTCAGCAAGCAAACAACTTTTATTTTGATCAAAACAGAGTTGGGTGACCCCATCTCTCTTCGTGGCTGGTAGAGAGATGAAGGCAACAACCAGAAAAGATGTCTGCCACCTTTTATACCTTTTCAGAACAAAGAGATTAGGTCTTGGTACTAGGCATAAGATGGCACAAAAAAAAATTCCTAGATGATGACTCATACACCCAGGCTCCATCCGTAACTCCTTTCCCCCTCCCCTTACTGTGCTCTTTTCATATAAGCAATCACCTATACCTAAAGCATGAAGCCCTTATTTTCCAATATATATATATCAAGTATCTGATCAAGCAATTAACTACAAAATGATTACAAAATAACAAAACAATGCTTACATGATAACACTATAAGTATCAATATAAAATGGTTACTGTTAAGTCCTTCGCGAAATGGCAATGACACGAGAAGCAGTTGTAGTTCTCAGGAACTCTTTATTTCTGTTCAGCACACTGGTTACAAGACGCCGACAGCGCCCAAATCTCCCTGCCTCTTTTATAGGCGATTCCCGGGCCAAACTGCAACATTTGGCTTGCTAGCACCCACGCATGCGCGCGAGTGCTGGCGACAACCAGTCTGGTCCCAGGCAGCTTGCATCTGCCCAGGACCGTTGCAATGCCCCGAGCCTGCTTCCACAGGCTCAGGACATAACACCCCTTCCCCCCCGGCTAAGACTATGATCATACAATAATAATATACAATCCAATACGAGCGTGGTGCCCATACTACTTTGTACCAGTTATCCCCTCTGCTTCTATTGTTCCCAGTGTTCTGTTTTCTTATGTGTACAGGAATACTCTGTTAACTCTGTTTTGCCAGTAGAGTTACAAAATCTTCTAAATACTTAGGAGATCTTCTGGCTCTCTGTGACCTCCTGACTTCTGGGTACCTGCCAAGTACCCCTTGACTGAGGGGTGATGTATGCTTGTCCCCCTTGCTACACCCTGGTGATTCCCAAGGACTGTGCTCCAATGCCTGGCCTGCTTGCTTGCCCACCGGGCTCGTCAGGCCAGGGCTTCTTTCTCTGTTTGACCTGGTTGTCCTGCCTGGCTGCAGGCTCTCTGGCCCTCTTAAGTGACTGTCACTGTTGGGCAATTCTGTAGAACCTCCCAGGTCTGTCCTAGACCTGTCAAGAGGTTGTCTTTCCCCTTGTTCCCGTTCTGTACCCGGGCTTGTTGGGGTTTCAGTGCTGTCCCAAAACTCAGTTGTCCCCTGAGTGATGTCAGAGGTGTTGTAGTCGGGATTTGGTTCCTGGACCACCTCCCTGTGTGCTTGCCCCCTTCTAGGGACAGGGGTAGTGTCGGGCCAACTAGACGGAATGTGTGCCAGCTCTCTTGCAGGGTGTGGGTTGTTTGGACGCTCCCGGATATCCTCCCTGACTGGAGTACTGAGTGATGCGGGTGAGTAGTGATTATGCCCCCGGGGTGACTCCCTGGCTGGAGTAGGCACTGGTGCCTGAGTTCTAGTTGGGCTCCATGGATTCCTGTTTGGAGTACTCGTGGAATCTCGGAATGAGCTGTCTGTAGCTCCCTCATTACTGATACGCACTCTTCCCTTTGCCCAAAGGGTTCCCCCTCCCCCCCTGGAAAAGACCCAGGAGTCTCAGTGGGAAGGTCCCGTCTAGTGCGGAGCTGGTCGATGTGTCGTCGCAAGACATGACCGTTGTCCAGGGACACCTCATAGGACAAAGGACCTGTGACCCTGGATACAGTGGCAGGGACCCATGAATGACCAGGCCCATAGTTACGAGTCCAAACCGGGGCACCCACAAGCAGTTGTCTAGGTGCCCTGGGGTGTGTGATTGTGGAAGGTAGTCTGTCCGGGTGCAACAGGTCAAGCTTGGTAGTCAGTTTGCGCCCCCAACGAAGTTCAGCTGGGCTCCTCCCGGTAGAAGTGGAAGGTGTAGTGCGATAAGAAAGGAGGAAGTCAGCCAACCTGTGATGCCAGTCTCCATAGGTAATTTTCTTCAAGGCGTCCTTGGTGATGCGAACCATGCGTTCAGCCATACTGTTGGTGGACGGGTGGAAAGGTGCAGAGGTGGCATGACGAATCATGTTGGCCTGTAAGAAAGCTTGGAATTCGGAAGAAGTGAATTAGTGTTCAATTTGGATTCAGCAGGGTGAATCCCGGTAGCATCAATTTTGAATCCCAGAAAATCTGTAGAAGGCACCCCAATTTTACATTTGTCCTTCTTAGGTTTGAGGCCCGTTTTCCTGAACCTCAGCAGGACAATCTCTCAGCTAAGTTGTGTGTAGAGTCTCCTGCAATTAAGACATCATCAAAATAGGGGCAAACCCCTGGTATACCCCATAGTGTGTTTTCCATTACGCTTTGGAAAATTCCAGGAGCGACATTTACTCCAAATTGTAACCTCTTTACCTTGAATGCCCCCCTGTGGGTCACAATGGTTTGAGCTACAGCAGCAGCATCATCAACAGGCAGCTGTTGATACGCTTGAGCTAGGTCAAGCTTTGCAAAAACACGCCCCCCTTGAGGGAGGCCAGGATATGACTGACCACAGGAACAGGATAGTCATGTTGCTGCAATGCCTTATTCAGAGTGCATTTGTAATCTGCACAGATGCGAATGTCCCCATTTGCCTTAAGAGGCGTGACAATGGGGGTCTCCCAAGGACTGGAGTCGACAGGTTCTAAAACTCCTTGCTGAATCAATTTGTCCAACTCGGTGTCAATTTTACCCTTCAAAGCACAAGGGACCCTTCTTGCTTTAATTCTAATAGGGGTGACAGTGGGGTCTAACTTCAGTGACACAGGGGGTCCTTTGTACGTGCCCAGCTGGGGGCTGAAAACATCTGCAAATTCTTTGCAGACTTCTTGTAGGTCAATTGTTTGCAAGCTATTGACCCTGACGTGTATTCCCAAGGCCTCAAACCAATCGAGTCCTATGAGACTCGTTCGTTCACCCCCTACTACTATTACATCTAGTGGACCTTTAAAATCCTTATACTGTACGTTAAGGGTGGCCTCCCCCTTAACACACACTCTGGAGTTTTGAAAGTCTGTTAACACAATGTCGGAAGGCCTCAGCTTGGCCTGAAATCTGCTGCCAGAACAAATCTTCCTAAACGTGTGCATGGAAATGATTGAAAGTGCAGACCCCGTATCCAGTTCCATAGCCAATGGAACTCCTTGTAGCTTCACTTTAAGTGACAGATTTTTCTTAATGGGCTTGTGTGTGCCTGTCTTATAAATGCTTC